AGGGTCACGCAGTCAGTATGTGTCAGTGATGGTACTTGAACCCAGGTGTCCCCATGGTCAACTTTGTCATTCTGCCTCAAAATGCCACAATACTTCATCAAAATAGTAGGTGAGCAGGAGCAGTTGAGTAAAGGAAGATGTTTCATATAAAAGTGAGCTTTTCTTACTAGCTGTGTGACCCTGGGCAAGTTACTTAACCCCAATTGCTTAAAAAAAAAGTTAGCTTTCAAAACAGTTACATTTACAGCAGGAAGGTTTAGGGTCAGACCTTTGTAGTTACAGACAAGACTGACTTACAATGGTGGAATATAAATATCAATCATTATTCTTGCTTTTTAATTTGTTATCTCCAGCATTGAGGAGTGTTTTTGCACATAGTAAGCACTTATTAAGTGCTTTTTCATTCATTCATGTATCTTCATAACCACATCAATACACTCTTTCCCCCATTGTCATTGAAGCTAAGTGGCATAGTAGATAGAACACCAGGCCTGGAGTCAAGAACACTCATCTTCCTGAGGTCAAATCTGGCTTCAGACACTAGCTGTGTGACTTTGCACAAGTCACTTAACCATGTTCGCCTCAGTTTCCTCATCTGTAAAATGAGGTGAGGAAGGAAATGGCAAACCATACTGAGAAATCCCCAAATGGGATCACAAAGAGTCAGACACAACTAACAAAAACCACACATCTAATGATAGCGATACAGTTTAGTTATCACTCATGTACCTAAGTCCTTCCTTTTGCAACCTCTCTTTTTAGTCATTTCTCTATCCCTTAGCACCTTCACTAAAGACAAGGGAAAGAAGTAAGAGAAAGTAAAACTCAAATGATCACCTATTATCACTTTTTAGTAGAGCTAGTTTAAAATATATTGGAGGGGGAGAATTAAGAAGCATTAAAACTAATAATCTAAATAACTTTTTTGGGATTGCATATATACTGCCTTAATTTCTACCATTGCTCACACTATAATCCCGAGGATAATGGTGAGTTGGCAATACAGAATAGATACTTTCTCAGCACATAAGGACATTTGGACTACTACCCATAGCCAAATAATGCATACAGAGAGCTGGCAAGTTGTTTAAATGATATTGGAAACACCATGGGGATTAACTTTCCTACCAAGTGATCTTTGAAATTCTATACCAACCCTCTCTAGTCAAACAAATAGAAAAAAATCCAAGACTGAGTTTTTCAGTAACTCTTTTAAAGGAAAAAGAATCTATTGTCTGCCTCCTTAGCATTTAGAGACTTGGATGGACAACCACCAAACTGCTCACTTGCCCGCTGTGTGTAACAGTAAACTTCCTTAGGATAATCTCATGTTCCGTGAATACGGAATGAATTTATATATGCTGATAGAATAAATAAACAGAATTGCTACAATGGCCTCTTGTACTAGCATCCACTTCATTTAATGTCTCCCACATCACCCTCATGGGCCCAATAAGCCCGCATCCATGGCTGATCCTAATTGTACCCATTTGTATCAGGTGGAACCAGTCAAAAGTCAAAGAGATTATTCACCGATTTAGTCTTTGGTTATACAGGATATAGGTTCTAAACCTCAATAAAACAGAAATGGACCTTACAGACATTTATGCTGTAAAACTCTACCAAGTAACAGTTTATGAGTTGGGGTTTAGAAAAGTCTCACTCCCAGAGGAGTAAAAAGGGGCTTACCATCTTTCCTGAAGATCTACATAAGAGACGATTTAGTAAATAATGATGGCTGGTAGATCTTTTAGATGAAGAAATTCACTCTATCAAAAAAGCAGCTCTTCGGCACCCTGTGGGAAATTGCCTAGATCCCTGAGGGGTCAAATGCCTTACCTGGAGTCACATAACTAAGATTCCTCAGAAGTGTAACTTGAACTCAGGTCTTTGTAGCTCCAAGTCCAATCCTGTATTCACTTCTGCTTCTATTTGATACGCATACCGTTAAGCTAATTTTGTCAAGTGTAAGCTATGTATCTACTCTCCTTCCTTCCTTATTATTTAAACATTTATTAAAGTCATAATACCAAAGGAAGGTCAAATAGCATGATAGATAGCTGGAGAACTTTAAAATCAGGGAGGCCTGGAAGAAGTCCACAAGGAGAGCCCATACCCGAAAAAGAATCCTTTCTACAATATTCCCAACAAATGGTCAAGCAGCCTTTGAAGACCTCTGGTAAGGAAGGCCCCTCTGCTTCCTGAAGCAGCCCCTTCCACTTTATCATAGCTGTTGAGGTTTGTCCTTTGTTTTCTACCCTACACATCCACCCCCACCACTACATGGAGACTAAATCTATCTCTCTGAAACTTCTACCCATTGCTCCTAATTATGCTCCCTAGGGCCAAGTTGGACAAGTCAACTACTTCAATTTAACAATCCTTCAAACACTGGAAGACAGCTACTGAGTTCCTCCTCCTGGTTTGTTTGTTTGTTTTTTTAAATTTTCCTTCTCTAGGCTAAAAATAATCTCCTTCAAGTAGTCCTTAAATGGCGTGATCTATTGATCCATAGACCCTTCAGCATCCTTCTTTTTCTCTGATGGACCCGCTCTGGCAATACCTTACCTAAAATGTGACACACAGAACTTTACACAGTACTGCAGATGTTGTCTGACCCAGAGGAGAGCATAGTGGAAATATCACCTCCCTAGTACTTGGTATCATCCCTCTCTCAAAACTACTTAAGATCATATTAGCTTTTTTTTGGCTATTATAGCATTTTGTTGACTTGTATTGATTTCATTTTGAGGCATACAAACTATTCCCATGCAATTTTACTCATAATAATCTAAATTGCTTTCTAAGAGCACTAAAACACAACAGATGAATTATTTCTAATTTTTTTCCACTAAATTAAACAAACATTTATTAAATGTCTGTAAGCCTGGGATATAGTCTGTGCCCTTAAGCTGCTTATATTCCCTTGGAAGGGGGAAACATCATATAAATGCAGGCAGACATATTATAAATAACTACTTTTTACTATGATGAATTCCCTGGAATAGGAACCTATAATCCTGTGTAAAAGGAGTAGAGAAACCAATAGAAGAAGTTTTAGAGTTTACTAGATATTAAATAGAACAAGAATTTAGAGTTTGAGGTTCTATTATTTAGTTTCCTTGCAAGTAATTTGGGACCATTTCTCATTTTGTATATCAAATATAAAAGGACTCTCACTGCATTGTGGGTAGAAGGGATTGATGGAAAGGAGATAAATATTTGCATATGGAAGGGAGGGCAAACATAGCTTTTCAAAGGGTCCATAGACCATGCAAGGGAACTCAAGTCCCCACAAAGAACTGAACCTGATTGTCACTCGGATCACATTCTGGACATTTTCAGACTGTGCTACTGTGTTTCATTTTCATTCACAGTAATTTCTACTTTGGGGATTTGCACGTTTGTGATTGTTGAAGGTTCATCAAATGTAGATAATGCACTAGAATACACACAAATTTAATCATTTTATGCCATGACTTAACTTGTCTACCACTGCAGCACTACCATTTTCCACATCTTACTTTGGGAACAGTAATCATGTCAACACTATCCTTCCTGAAAAGGACAGGCATTCAACTGTCCTCTAATTCTAATTATCAAATGAGATATTGTAAAGTACTCAGCACAGCGCCTAAAAGATAGTAAGCATAATGTAAATGTTAGTGACTGTTACTAATTATCTTCCTAGACCAAAACACCTCTTCCTAGCAACCGCCACCCTGTTTGTGTTGCCTTCATTTATGAGGACCTAAGTTCTTTGACAGCAGATATTATATTGCTTTTTGTACTAGTATCTCCAGCATTTAATAAAGTCCCTGACACATAGCAGGTGTTTAATAAATTATTTTTCATTCATTCATTCACTACCTAAGAACAGTATAAGTAATAGAACAATGAACATTAAAAATAAACAACATCAGTATGTCACATGTATATAGCAATTTATAGTTTACACAGATACCAATTAGTAAAAGTTATCATAAAAAATTATAAGAATTTTTCTTGGGGGCAGGTAGGTGGCATAGTGGATAGAGCACCGGCCCTGGATTCAGGAGGACCTGAGTTCAAATCCGACCTCAGACACATAACACTTGCTAGCTATGTGACCCTGGGCAAGTCACTTAACCCCATTGCCTAGCAAAAAAAAAAAAAAGAAGAAGAATTTTTCTTATACTTTCCTAAAGGATATTTTTAGCTAAGATCAGTCACAGAAAGTCTCAAGGAGAGCTTTTCATGTGTGCATTAATGAGGCAAGGGATTGCAATGGAAACCATTATAAACTCAGTTACAATATCTGACGAAGAAAAATATTAACATTAGGACATTATCTAAATTGGACTTATAAATATATGAAGAGCATTCCTACTACAGATTTTGCTCTCTAGTGCCATATGGTCAACTTTAAGTTATTCAAGGAAGGATGATCCAGTTTTTGTATCACCCCGCCTCTGGCTACCCACCATTTGGGGGCTTTACTGCACCAGTGAGCAGCGTTGGCAACTCCACCAGAGAGCAAGAGAATGAAAAGGATATGACACAACTCAGTCATAATTATGACGAAACTCTTTGGAGAGGGAGAGAATTGATACTATTGGCAGTCAGAGGACTAAAATAGCAGCTTCTATGAATATATCTAGCCACCACACAAATATCACACAGGAAGCCAATGGGTCACCCTAAATTCAAAAAAAATATGAAATTGTACTGTAAAGAAGAGGTCTCTTAACAATTAGTTATCCAAAAATGGTATGGTCTTCTTTGTAATGTCTATTATTTTATGAGAAATGAGGAGGGCATTCCAGGCAGACTGGATGGCAAAAGCATAGTTGTGATCACTGTCACAAAAATGGTTTCCATCAGGGCATAATGAGAAGATGACATTTATTAAGGCAGAGATTTTGTTTTTGTTTAGGATGGTTGAGATAAGGTTAGAAAAGTAGAGAGGCTGACCTGCAAGAACACTGAATATCAAGCTACATTTCAATTTTATCTTATAGGAAATTGGGAGACATTGAAAACTTATGAGGAAGAAGTGCTGACATGTGCAAAGTGATTACTTCTGAAGGTTGATCAGGTAACAATTTGCAGGATGGACTGGACAGTGGAGAGACTGGGAAAGGGAGACAGTGAGGAGACTATTCCAATAATCCAGGCATGATTTGATTAAGGCCAAGAATAATGTGACAGCCATAGGGACTGAAAAAAAAATAAGTGTGTCTGCAACAGACAGTATGAGAGAAAGGAGCCAATTACAACTTTATAAGAAAGGAAAAGAAATGCTATCTTGGACTGAGTGGGGGAGGGGAGAGAAAGAGTGTGGGAGAGAATGAGAGAGAGAGAGAGAGAGAGAGAGAGAGAGAGAGAGAGAGAGAGAGAGAGAGAGAGAGGAGCAGCTGGTAGGGAGGGAAACATGGTACTCAGTTTTAGACATGTTGTGTTTGAGGTAACAGCAGGACATACAGATGGAGATGTCCAGAAGGTAATTGGCAATGCAAAACCAAAAATTAAGAAAGACATAATGACTAAAGATGTACATTTGGGAGTTACCAGTGTAAGGGTGACACATGATAATCTGAAAGTGGTTAATATCTCCAAGGGTAATAGTGACCATAGAAGGACACTGAACTTTGAATCACAGAACATGAGTACCGGTCTCAGCTCTGTTACTTGCTACCTATGTGATCTTGGGTAAGCCTCTTAATCTTATTGGGGCTCAGTTTCCTCATGTGTAAAATAAAAGGGTTATACTAAATTATCTCTAAGTTCCCTTCCAGTTCTATGCCTATGATCCTAAAATCTTATGAAAGAAAAATGGCACACAGGACAGACCTGTAGGACATCCACATTTGAGAGACCAAAGGAGAAAGCTCAAGAGCCCAAGAAGGAACAAGGAGGAACCAAAGGTATAGGAAGAGAAACAACACCATGTGCCATCAGAGAAGCAAAGGGAGAAGACAATTTCAGTTATGGAGGTGATGGACAACAACATAATCATGAGGGAAAGGTATAGGGCAGCTAGGTGGCACAGTGCACGAAAGACTCATCTTCATGAGTTCAAATTTGGCTTCAGATACTTATTAGCTGTGTAACCCTGAGCAAGTCACTTAACTCAGTTTGCCTCAGCTTTCTCATTAGTAAAATGATCTGGAGAAGGAAATGACAAACTACTTCAGTGTCTTTGCCAAGAAAACTCCAAATGGGGTCACGAAGAGTTAGACATGACTGAACAAGCAGGAATCAGGATTGAACTTGCAATTTCATTGGTGCAAGAAATTTCAAGGTACCCACGTAGGTCAGAAACTTTTCTCTAACTTCTGTTTTTAGAGATTTGCCTTTTTCAAGGGCACTAACAGGATAAAAGGTTTACCAAAGGTCCATGGACAGTAGATGTCAGAATCAGGACTTAAACTCTGACTGGTTCTATTCGTATACCTGCCCCCTCACAGTCATAATAAATACTTAATATTTATATAGCCTTTTATAGTTGTATATCACCTTAAATATCCTGTTTCATTTGATCCTTATAGAACTACATAATCTCAAAGAAGAAAAGAACCTCAAAAATCAACTGGTTCAACACTGGAATAGAATTTTCCTCTCTAATATCTTTGATAAGTAGTCATCTAGTGTCCTTCTCATGACCCAGTGAGGGAAAACCCAATACCTCTGGAAGCAGCCCATTCTACTCTTAGATAGGTCTAATGGTTAGGATGTTTTTCCTTAAGTGAAATCTTAACCTGAGCTTCCATCAAAACCTGTAAGATTGGTGATAGAATCTTCCCGTATTTGAGATGAGGAAACTGCAATTCAGAAAAGTTATTTGATTTACTCAAAGTATCACAGGAGGTAAATGGCAAGTCCATTTATCTAATGGGTATCGCACTCCGCTGTTGAGTCACACCACTACTCCAGTTCATTATGGAGGCTAACATTTGCTTCATTGTCTCCATTCAAAATACTCTTTACTAAAAGCCCTGGCAGGAATTTTTAATTAAATAACAACTGGAACAGAATTGTACAGTAAATAACAGGGAGAAGCATTGATTAATAGAAACATTTTTCAGCCCCTATATACAAAACATTTATATATTCCTCCAGTCTCCTATGCTTTTATAATATAACCATGACCCACCTGTGATTCAAAGCCATATATTCTTTCCACTTGGCTCTGCTGTGTATTTCTTAGATGCTACAAAGAGATTGGCTTGATGAAGGAAAATGATGAAGAAAAAGCCAATAAATATATAAATTATGTGGATCCTGATCCTCATAGCACTCTGAGTTTTAAAACTACTTCAAAAGAAATAAGTAGGTCCCAGTAACTACAGCATTGTTTTCTTCTAAGATTGATGCAGTCAAGCTCAAAGCACTTTCTTTAATGACTAGATTGGATCCCTATATCTTTATTTTCTTCTTTCCAGATAAAGATATTCTCCAATCTTACATCTCCCCTCGTACCCACCTACCCTTACCTACACTCTAGATTAGGGGTAGGGAACCCTTAAGGTTACATGTGGCCTTCTGGATCCTTGGGTATAACCTTTTGACTGAGTCCAAGTTTTGCAGAGCATATCTTTTTATTAATGGGATTTGTTCTGTAAAGTTTGGATTCAGTCAAAGGGTCACACTTGAGGACCTAGAAGGCCACACGTGGCCTCAAGGCCACAGGTTCCCCACCTCTGCTCTAGACTCTAGCACTAATTGGCCCTCTAATCAGAATTTAAGACCCAGGGTTTGTTTTTTAATGGCCTCACTTTAACTTTATACTCCAGTCTGTTAAAACATCAAGTCTTTCTCTTGTGCCTTTGTATTACTGTCCCCATCTTGGTTCCCTGTCTGGTATTTCAGTTCAAGGACTGGGATCTGGCTCTGATCCCCTTATTCTCCCAGACTCTAGAGTTTTGTCCCTAATTCTTGTGTCTATACTACAATGCTATACACATGGTAGATATTTAATAATCTACCCAATGGGTCTGTCTGACATTTCATTCTCGGTCATCTTGTACCTGGCAAGAGCCACCATAGACTTAAGCCTATTTCTAGCATTGCCTGGGCTTTGCAGTTCTCCAAATGCCACTTTATGAATTTGTTTTATTATTACATGCTATCCCAAAAGGGTTTGTCAACTCAAACTACAGAAAGCATCAAACACCTATTTAAAATATAAATAGGCCTTACATAGTCAAATATGAAACAGAAAATAAAATCTATTTTTTAAAAAGATAAAGAAGAAATCTGAAGTAAAGGGGAAGCCATATTCCATTTTTGGCATCATAAAGAGAAAAGGCAGGAATGTCCCAATATTCTGCCAGTTTTTACTAGACATAGCTACTTAGGAACTGAAGTTAATCATTAGCTTGTTCAGGTTTTCCAGTGAAATATCACGGTAGGTTCTCAACACGGCAGAGGATGGGAACAGACTGACCATTGTATTCCAGAGACTACAGTCAATTAAGTAACACTGAACCATAGGGAAATTCAATCCACAGAATTTCCACAGCTTCCTGTATAGGAAAGAAGAAGAAACATGCTCTGAAAGCAGACAGTTTTCCATGCTAAGGCAAATATGCAAGGATTTTCTCTACTATCTATCTTTCCTTGCTTGTTCCTATAACATCAATAAGATAGATAAGGAAGAGAGAAACAGGAAGGAGGGGAAGGAAGGGGGGACATAGGAGAGGAAGAAAGAGACAGAAAATGAGGAGACACACAGGGAGATGCACACATAGGAAGAGGCAGAGAAACAGAAGCAGAGAAAGACAAAGACAGAGGCCTAAAGACACACACAGAAAGATAGAGGATAAAGGAGATAAGGAAGAAAGAAAGGAAAGGATGAGAAGAGATCTCTATGACTTCAAGTTATAAGCTAAACATGGACACACACACATGTACGCACACACATGTAACTCATATATACACACACACAAAAATGACATGCTATTTAGACCCAAACACTCAGTAGTAAAAAGCTATGAAATCATGTGGAGTTTGACTTTTAGAACTGTTCAATTGATGTCATTAAAATAGCAGAATTAGACTTATAATTGTTCCCTTATGAATTCCACTGTCTGCTTGAAAATGAGAGAGCATTCATTTCTGTCCCCTAACCAACTTATTTGGGGAGGGAATAGATGGGCTAGAGATGGCAAAAACTAAGTTTCAGAATCCATCTGGGAAAAGAGAAGAAAATAAGTGTCAATAATGAATAATGCCCCTGCCAGTCAATATCACCAGCCTGGTTGACATCTTCACTCATCATAAATCCTTATTTCTCAGTATTTACTTGCTATCCACTGCTTAGGACTCTAACATTTCATTAACATGCAAATGTGTGACATTTATATGGTTTAAGTAGTACTGCATATTTTTAAAAAGTCATCCTCCACCACATCTCCATTTTAGGATCACATTTACTGCCAATGAACCCAAATACTAACTCACGCCATATGGAGATGTAAACAACACACAGCAAAGGTGGTTGGGTTTTATTCCATCTTATTGTTTTGACATTTTCAATCATTCTCTGTGGCCTCATCAGTGAGGAAGTTACTGCTTTCACTAGTTATCCAGTGTCACTAAGTTCTTCCTGAGGATGATGAGAAAAATTCTACCATTTACTCCATCATCAAAGAAATAGCCAAGAATATACTGAAGATTTTTTTTTAAATACACATCTTTAGTGTGATAAAGTAGGATGGCAGTGGAGTTAGTGTAAGCAAAAGACTGTGCACCAGAGACCAGGTTCTAGTCTGGGCTTTGTTCTTAGCTTCTAATGAGAAGACTGAACTAATCAATCCATAGATAAACTAAGATTTATAAAGCTCCTCACATGTGCCAGGTAGCCTACTGCTCTGGTTTTAATTACTCAAAGCTTCCCCCTGAAACCAAGGCCCATCTTTTTTTAATGTCAGTATTCCTCCAGTTATAATATGGAGTGGAGATATAAATAGAAAATTAAGATACTACCTAACTTCGAAGGATTTATGGGAGTGATATAACATGTTCAGAGAAAAAAAATCTCACATTTATTAACATTTGCAAAGGCCTTTGCAAATACCTCATTTTATCCTTACA